TAAGGGAGGTGAAGCGTGAGGAAGGTTGTTTGTTTTCTCTGTAGTGGCGGTCACGTCTCAAGCCGTCTGGTATCCCAGGGAAACCAGACATGATGTAATGCCATATTGAACTTGAACTTTAGGGACTTAGAAAAAGGGGAACAATGGACCGCAGCAATCAATAAAGTCCATTTTCCACAAGATTATGTAGCCGACTTTTAAGTTAACCTCTAAGGAAGAGGCAGTATGGACAGTCAGTACTCCAAATAAAGGAACGATCCACAGACAAGATCTCAAAGTGGAGGACCAACTTTTCTGCCTCTCTCTGTTCAGAGCTTACTGTCTGAGCGGCCCTACAGACTCCAGTAGAATTAGGAAAGTTCTTATTCTCCTGTAGACCGTTTGGCTGTTCTGTGTGCTCTTTGTTCAGCTAGGTAGGAAAAACCTAATCTCTCATTTCCTGTCAGATGATTTCTGGCAGGCCACAGAGAGAGGGAGAGAGAGAGGTGGGGAGGCAGGAGTGGGAGTGAAGTCCAGGCCAGAAATGGTATAGACATGATCTTTAGTTTAACCCTCTTAGGACTGAATCCAACCAAATTACTTTTTTTTTTCTCGTTACAGCGAGAACAGGACTCCTCAAAACACATAAAACATGTAACTTAAGCGCATATGGTTTTGGTTCTCAGTGAAAATGATTTGTATAAAAATGCAGATCATGTAATTAGCTGCATTTAACACTATTGTAGTGCCTGATAGTATGGGACGGTTGTGGAAGAATAAAGCCAGTGTTCCACATCCTAGATTGAGAGCTCCATTCCCAAAGACTCCAGTTTTAACCTCCCCCTCTCTGCAAAGGCAAACGGGCACCCAAATGCCTGTACCCACTTTTTTTCTCATGGAAGCCTTGCACCTGCAGAAAGTGTGATGAAAAAGTTGTTCAGTTTCTTTTCACAGCTTTTTTCCCTTTCATATAAACCTCTTTCCTGAAACAAAGGCAGTTCTGTTGGCATCGTACCCAGTTGACAGAATATTGAGCATGTCCCGTAATCTGCAAACAGAAAGAAGCGATTGTGCAAGACAGGTATTTAAGATGGGGATTTCTTGTCTGCCTAATTATTCAACGCGTATACATACCAGTAAGCTATAGAAACAACAAAGTGCTTGTCTGTGCATATATTTTCATTTGAACTGCATTTCTAAATAACAATAATAGTGTTGTTTTCTATTTACATGTGATGAATAAAACAAGGCAGTTGCCCTGTAATTGATTAAAAAGTGGGTGCTAGAACTGAGTTAAGTTTGAAGACGGGCTTGTCTGACATTATTTACAAAAGAGACAGCATATCATCCCACAGTGAATTCCTTTGTTCTGCTTATATCTAGACATTTTGCAGGGTCCTGAAAGCTCCTGCTGCAGTTGGCTATCTGATTAAGAGTGAGATGTATGAGAGAGGGATGACAAAGCAGCTCTGGCACTGAAAATGTATAAAGTAATTAAACACTTACAACCTGCATTTACTTCAGTCTGCTGCAGAAGTATAGACCTTTAAAAGTGCTGACCACAGTCCTTTCCAAAATACATTCACAAAAACCCTGATGCATGCCACTTCACTCTGTCATGTACCGAAGTAATCACATCTTATTTTGTAAGACGAGCAGCTGTAGCTTTGAATCTGGAAATCGTTATTCATCCGGGAGTGTGTAAATAATAATCATCATCACAAGGACAATCAGATTAATACAATTTTTGAACACTTTCCATAAAATCTAAAACAAGAACTCACACATAATACACAATGAATAACTCTTTTTAAACAAAAAAAAACACCACAAAATGACCCAATGAAAGGAAAAGTAGAGTATAACCTGTTCTGTACATGAAAAGTTTTAGCAGGAGAATACGTGAGAATACTCGTGCAGTAAGTCCTTAAGATGACCTGGAACTAGAACATTCAGACCCTTGTACGTGAGCAAGAGAACCTTCAAGTCGTTTGTAAACTTCACAAGTTTTGCCAGTGCAATTTAAAGACAATGAGGGTTAATATGCTAATGCTGAGTACATTTGTGTTAGTACAACAGACAAAAATCTGAACAGAACCCTCGACGCAGAAGAGACTTAAGCAACCCCACATGTGTAGGTCATCCACCAAGCAAGTTTGGTTCGCCAGTTTCAATCAACAGAAGGTCACAGTCCGTTTACTATTAATATGGAGAAACTAGCAGGGCCAGTAAAACGGGGAAATAAGACACTTGCAATAAGATCGATTTTCACCTATCAAACTGGAGTCGTACGTGAGGATTGTAATGCAGAAATGGAACTTCTGGGACTCTACCTGGTTCAGTGAGTGGTTTAGTTTATTTTTTTCTTGCTTTGATTTTAAAGGCATTTCAAATAAATCATATTTATGTAGGTTTTCATAGGAACAGGGCTCATCATAGCTAGAGGTTATTTTCATTCCTTACAGGAAACACTTTATCTGAAGTTGGTTTGTTTTCACAAAAAAAAGTTGGCAGTAATGTATTCTTAATAGAATCAATCTGGTCAGGATTCTTTTGAAAATATTAGCTAACTCAGGAATGTGCAAACATATCACTTGATGTTGTAGAACGCAGGCCTGTAATAGAATTAAAATACTGTTCATATAAAGCATAGCTTAGAGTTATAAAACTTGGAAGACTGTTTTTCTTTACTCAGCATAAAATTTGAACATTGTACAAGCAAACATGCCTGCTGTCTCCTGTGTTTTCTCTTTTCTAAAAAAAATATTTAAAAAAAACATTTTCAGAAAGTTTAAATAATTTACAGGAGCTTTAACTTTTAATTTCATTATATTATACATTGTCTCTAGCCTGCCCTGTGATTTGATAATGGAATAACAGGAAAGCCAAGCTATTTGGGAATAGTTGGTTTACTGTATTTGCAGTCATATAACCTGTATAAACTGGCTGCCTGCATTATTTTAGTGTGTTGTTAATCCATTGGTTTTCAGTTTCTGTTGTGAACAACTAGGAAATCCTTGACCATATTTGTAGGCAGTACTTTTAATGAGTTTTTGGGAGGAACGAATTGGCATTATTCTTTAGCCAAGCTGGATATTAACAGACATGGTTACATGTCAGTAAAGTGGCTATTACAATGGTAGGCTCTGGACAGGCCAGCAAAAGGTCAAAGCATTTTGATGATTTATGTCAATGTCAGATAGGAGGTTGATCATGTTGAGAGGGTTATTGTCTTGTATTAATAATGTTCTGGGACATTGAGAGGAACATAAATCCGGCAATATACTCAGCCCTTTAGGTATCCAAGAGACACTGGGAATAGGCAAATAGCGCTCTGGTGTAGGAATGGTAATAAAATTTACAAATGGATGCCTGAATCTAATGAAACTTGCGCCTGTATAATGTTTCAGGGACTGACGGAAACAAACTAGTTTAAATAACGCATAAATGTTTGAGGAGAAACTCAGGGGCTTGTGGTTATGTATAACTGTTACCTCTACGTTTTTGTCTTTATTTATTGATAAACAATCTCATGAGATTGCATTAATCTCTTCATTGTAGGCATGGAATAATGCATAAATATTGAAACATTTCTTAAAGATGCCGTCTTACGAAGGGGTAAAAACTGTTTGATGGAAATTGAAGATGTGATCTGGACTCATGACCAGGCTGCAGTATGTGGTTTAGAGCTAAAAACACTGCTGTTATTGTTAAAAATGCTGCTTCCTAATTTTTAGATGGCTTTAAAAAAATTGTATTTACAGTAGCAGGTGTGCTTACTGTGTGTATTTATTTCTTGTACTCTCAGAACACTTCTTTCTTGAGTGGCCTAAGCTCATTAAATTGTGTGCTTTTATACATGTATTTATGTTCTACTGTCTTGCAAAAGTAATCAGATGTATTATGGTGTCTCGTTTTGTGAAATTACTAAATTATGCACACATTTTTTTAAACATAGTATTTAATTCAAAACCCCAATGCTCAAACCGAAGACTTTTAAGATTATGTTGCACTAAATGTCAACAAAAACGGATAAGCTGATAAGTATCCAGACTTGATGAACTATTGGTTGAACCACCTTTGGCAGGAGTTACAGCTACAAGTCTTTTTGGGTGACAATCTATTTAGCACACTGGCTTAATTCAAGTAGTTCAGGCTCTCTCAAGTTGTTGGGGTTCAATTATGGACAATCGCTTTCAAGTTCTCCCAGATTCTCAGTAGGATTCAGGTCAGGACTTTGACTGGGCTTCTCATACCTTTGTGCTTCGAATCATTGTCTTGCTGAAAGGTGAATTTTTGTCCATGTTTCAAGTTTGAAGCAGGTTTTCCTCTAGGATTTGCCGTACTTTGCTCCATCTACAGTATGTCCCCACCAGTATTGAATAGCTTTCCAGACCACGCTAACGAGAACCAGAACTACCAACATAATGCTGCTACCTGTATGCTTAACATTAGGGATAGTGCTGACTGAGTGATGAGCTATACAGTATATATAACTTTAAAGCAACAAAATAGGAAAGCTCTGCAAGAGTATGAAAGCTTTTACAGGGCGCTGTATGTTTACCATGTGTGTATAATATATATATATATTCATGTGCGTCTTTGTGTGTATAAACAAAATATAAATTGGTCTTATGGAGCTGAAGGTAATGTTAGCTGTAAACTCCTTTAATTGTTGCTGTAAACCCCTTTGAATTGTATAATATAACCATGCTATATTTTCAATAGCCACTGGTTCTGTTCTGATGCTTTTAACAATCAGTGGTATTTTTGAAGTGTACCATATTTGACAGTTGAATTGAAGATATATTTAATAATTCCACCATTTAAGAAAGATAGGGAGTGTTGTTTATGCCCTAAAAATTAAGAGTTGCATCTAATTAAATCACTCATAAATATGCCTTTTTTAAATCATTAATGTGCAAAACTGTGACCAAACAATGCTATGCCAATGTTATGCCATGAGACTGAGACTCATGTGTCTGAACTCTTTTCATTTTCCTGTTTGTTGTCTCTTGCAGTCCTGGTACCTGGGCGAGCTTAGTTCCATTCCAAGTGTCGAACGGGACTCCGATTCTGCCAACAAATGTCCAGAACTACAGCATAAACATCATTGGTGAACCCTTCCTTCAAGCAGAAACAAGCAACTGAAGGCAGACAAGAAAGGAAGTGAGGACTGACAGAACTGAGAATTAAAGACAACAAACCAGCAAGCAGCACTTATACAATCTCCAGTGTCTCACTAGGGGGACGCTGGCCAAGAACAGTTAAGGGTTGGTTGAAGCATTGTGATGAGGCGATATTGCTCATGCCAGACAGCCTTTGTGTAAGAAATCCCCCAGTTAAAAACTGTGATATATCCAATACAATTATAGATGCCTTAATGTTTGCATGATATGCTAGTTTTTTTTATATTTGATTATTTTTGGGAGCACTAGTCCTGGTTTACAAGCAGGTTAAATGATAATCTGCGAAGGCTGGCTGGCAAATTGCAGAACTGAAGCTCTTCAAGTGAATTATGATGTCACGTATAGAGGCTCATGAATCAAACCATTTGCCACATTTCCATTGCAACAAAGTCGAAAGTGAAATTATTTTCTTCAATATGCCACAGTTCCGTTTTGTTTTAATCTTTATCTTAAACCTGTAATCCTGTTGATCCAGTGCTGATATTTAGTTTAAGGTAAAAGTATGTACACTAAGAGTCTGAACTCTAAAGAAATATATAATTAATTAATAAAAATTAAAACCTATTTTATTAGGTTAGGCAAATTACCCCATATAATGCAAAATGAATTAAGATATTTCCCTAAAAAAAGACAAAAAAAATCTCTTGAGGCAAGTGCAATTTAAATTTTATAACTGAAGGGAAACTATAGAAGTCTATCAGCCCTAAGACTCTAAATTTGAGGGGAATAAAATTGTTTTTTGTAGTAAAAAAACTTACAAAAACAATTTCGAGCTGTATCCTCAATTTTCAAGGGGAAAATGGATCATGAAACGTCGACAAGTTTGTGCTTGACCAAGAGCGTGTGACAGAACAGAACTAAACATGAACGAAACAGCACTTATATTTTATTAAGCCGTAACCTCCCCTGGAGGCAGACTTTATTTATTATGAGAAAACCGTAGAACAAGAGACACACATTGTGTATAAATGGCTTACAATTCCGTATTTACAGAAAAAGAGCAGATTCATTTGGCTGTAAGCTTATGAAGCTATTGTTTACAAAACAATAAAAATATGAATGCAGGATAAGTTTAAAAGAAATAAAATATATATATGTATTGACTTCTGCGTTCAACACGACACTGTCCTTAGGGTGCTGAGCAGTTGCATGGTGCTTTGTGAACCTGTAATTCAACAGACCCCTTTGGTCACGAAAACTTGCAGTGTGCATGGCAGTTACTTTGCCTTTGCATCTCGGCACCAGATATATATTAACTACTCTTTCCAATAATCTTAATTTGCACGAAGTTATATAGTCCACATTACGTGCCTTGCCTTTGAATATAAAAGAGACATCACTACACTTGTGTTTTGCTGCATTTATTACCATTTTAAGAATTAACATTTTTATGAAAAAAAAATATTTTGTACTCTGGATGAAATTGTGACATCATTGATTTTTAACTACATTTACTACTTTATCTCACATTTATAATGCATATCATGGCTGTGTATAGTTGCCGTTCTAAAGTTTATAATCAACCAGCATTATTTTTCAGTATTTTTTGGTGTTTTTTCTAATAACCTTTTGTTTTGTTTTTATTTTCATCTTCCAATTACTATTTGGGGGGTTCAGATGTATAAGAATTATGCAATACCAAGTTTTGCCTATGTAGGTAGTGCTTTTAGCTATATTGATTATTATAAGCTAGTATGGAGATAGACAATATTGTATACATTTATTTTGTTGTTTTTTTTTTAATTGACCAAAGTGGGAACTGCTTTCTATGCAGTGTGTGACAAGGTCTTTTTGTGTACTGAGAGATGGAGAGGGGTGTCGTTTCTTTTTTATTGTGGGGAAGTGGGGGGGAGGGAATATTTTTTTAAACTTTACAGCGTGGCTGTGAAGAATGCACCCTTGGTCTAATATGGCTGCAAAGTCACTGATCTGTCTACTGTGACAAACTGGTTTCTTCTTTTAACTTCCCACCTGGGGTGCTAGCATGATTCCTGGAAGAAGCTCATTTTCATAGGAGAGCAGGTGTGACTTGAGTCTGACAATCAGCTGAGGAGTATTTGGAAGGTAGATGAAATTGGAATCAGCCAGCTGCATGAAAATGGCTTACATGGAGATCTAACGAGTGCACAGTTCATGTAGATTGCAATTCAGGTCTTGTCATGTTCATGACCTCCGTGTCAGTGGAGGGCTGAAGTGATCATTACTACATACGTTACATTTAGATCCATTCTTTGCTCTCCATTGCTGCTGCATTTTGAAAACACTAAAATAACCCTTTACCTATAAGATAGTAGGACCATACTATAAGTAGCTATATGCAAAAGACTTCCTTAGCAGATGCCTTAATGAACTAAGTGACTTTTTAGAAACGTGTTACAATCACTGACACACAATGATGTAAGTAGTAAATGTAAAATCATTTCTCAATAAACCTTCATTTATGTAGTGTCCATGCAACTTATGATATCAGAACCCATGTAAAATATTTCTAAATATACTATTTCAGTTGTTTTTTATACTTGCTAACAAATCTGATATGCACTAATTACATCGTCTTTACCTGTATATTCCAGGGAAACCTCCTTTTGGAGCTATAATTACTTAAAAGTTTTTTTAAGAAGAATGTTTGTGTACTTATTTCTAACATATTATCTAATAAGGAGTGGGAAAAAAATCAGAATCTTGGTGAGTCATCCTCGTGTCACGGGAAATCTTCCATAGCTCCCTAAAAAAGGACTACGTGCTTTAGAAGCATGTACCGCACATAGCAAATCGTTGTCATAGCAGTGTTCTGTGGACTTGCCGCCAATTGGAATCATGAATTTCTCAGGCAGATTGTGTTACAGGGGCATTATGTACTGAGATCTCTAAGCGATCCGTGCACCGGAAACAGTAGAGTACAGCACCTTACTACCTAATGTGATGCAAGCGTGAACCTCCATCTCTTCGACCTTTTTTGCACTCCTTGCCACCTCGCGATTCCCTTCGTCACGGGAGGCGAGCCTGAAAGGTAACAGGTGAGACTGGTCTGCTCTGTCCGGCACTGGCACATGTGCGGAATTCAAGTCACGCTTCTTCTCTCCTCCTTCACCAAGATGCTTATTCTGACTCGAAACCAAGCCACCCCGTTCTATGTGCACTGTTCTGACTTCTTTTAAACTTAAGTGCTTTGCAGCCTTTAGCCATTGGCGATGCCACTGAAGTGCATTTCCCCTAGTGTGACAAGAATGTTTAAGGCTTGTTTAGGGAAGCTAATGCAGTGAAGGAGACTGTACATAAAGGAACTCATGGCAACGATAATATAGCAATAGTCCTTGGGGTATTATTTGCTTTGGCAGCTCTGTAAAATGTGTATGAATGACTCTGAAGCTGCATCATTTGAGAAGAATCATGGGTCTTTCTATTGAACCGCCTGCCTTGTAGACAGCAGTTTGTACACTGTATTGTTTTGTTTTGTTTTTTGCCCAATTTTGCAAAGGTAACTTTTGAAACAATCTAATGAATATGTGCTATTTCCAATTTTTGTTTTTTAGTTAAAATGAACCATACATTTGTTTTAATGGAAACTGGACTTGAGTTAAAACTCTCCAGTTTACCTTAATTTATAAATAAAAAATACTGTCCATTTTTCATTTGATACGTATTCCAGTACTTAAAGAGTAGAGGATATTAATCCTTTACAGAATTGTAAATGGTGAAAGGTTACATTTTATGAAGGGTTTTATTGTACTAAATGTTGATTAACTTGTTTTTTGGAAACATTTCCTAAATGTTGGAAGTAACACTGTCTTTTTGTTAGTGTGGCCATAGAAAGCGTTTCTGTAATTAAAAATTAAACTACAAAATAGCTGTTTTTAATGTAAAGCTTACAGTACATAATGGACAGTAAGACTAGAATTGCCACTTTGATTAAAGACATCAGTTAAGTGACTACAATCTGTCAATAACATCCAATGGAAAGCAATTTTAGAATTGACACAAGATCTTGTTCATCTGTGTGTATATGCGCACACATTGTTGTTTGACACTATGAAGGCTGCAGGATAGGTTCCTGCCATAATGTGTACAGAATTTAGTTTTGAAAAGTGTGATTAAAGGGCAATACAGTGTTGCTGGCAGTTAGGCCCTTAGTATGATACCAGATTATTTACTTGTTTTCATCCTAGTCATTTGTGAAATAAATGGTTTCAAATCAATTATATTAAATGTCAAACTATGCACCTAGAAAACAATTGTGTTGGGTGCTCCCTGGTGTTTTTCTTTTACAAGGAGAATTGTCAAACGTGCTGGCTAATAAGGACAATTTAACTATAATTAAGCCTAGTATGTATGTCTACTCCCTTTACATTTTATTCCTGTCATTATTGGTGGAGTTCAAAGAAAAGCTACATTCATGTATGCACTTTCTGCTAGTTTCCCGTTTCTTGACCTGTGTGTAGATGTGGTTGACAACTGGTACATGTGTTGAGTACATCATAATAACATGGATGATACCCTAAATTGCCCTCTAATCTTCCATTACATTTTTCGATCATTGTTTTCCAATGCCATGGTAGCTCCTTGTACTGCTTCCTTGCCACAGCACACAATGTTACAAGGGGGGAAAAGATGAAAATGGTCAATTTTTACTTTTTTTTTTTGCAGTTTTACATTTTTTTATTTGTGTTTTTTTTTTCTAAGGGCTGAATAGTTTCAAATCTATGGAAATAATGTACACATAAGAAACAATTTAACAGCTCCAAGAATAATTCAAATTGCATCAGTGACACTGGTGGGTCTCACTAGCATATGATGACCACACAATTCCAGCTGGACTAGGTGTGTCATTCTGATTAGGATTGTCTCAGTTGAGAAACTTGAACCTTTCAGTGTGCAAGGACCAGTGGCACTAATGCAATTCATTTTCCAGTGGAAATCTTGGCTTTTTACTGAATGTGTTGTAAAACTGTGCTACAGGGACTGATATGACAAATGTATTAGTAAACTGATGATCAAATTTAAGAAATATGTTCTATATAAATGTGTTTTGATTTGGAGGGCATTGATAATGGCATGAACTGACATCAGGTTGTGTAAACAAGAACGTAACAAAAAACCAGCATATGTAACGTTTACCAAAAAAACATAATCAAAAACAGAAAAGCAGTGCCTGTTCAAGCTCACAGTCTCAGTGGAGTTCAGTTGTATATAAAGTACTTCTTGATAGAAATTTTGTCAGAAAACTTCAAAATCCAGAATGTGTGGGGTGGCTCTTCCCTAGTCTGTTTTATTTTTCTTTGAAGTTTGGAATGTGTCTTCGACAGAGCGGTTGTTTGTGCTTCATTCATTTGAATCTTCTAGTCAGCTGGGATGGAGTCCCCCTGTCTCTTGATATTTCTCTGAGGAAAAAAAAAATGTAAAAAGAAAAAAAAAATTTCGTAGGGCAGTGTGTTTCTTTAGATTCTCAATGCTACATTTAGTACAACAGTAGGTGACAAGTAGTCAGTTTAAAAAATGCTTGCTAGCTACACAGCAGGGTGATCCATTTTGGGTCTTGTGGCACTTTTACATCCTTTGCTATAACATTTTAAATTCCTGCAGTAAACAACAACAAACAGGGCTCTAGGAAGTACAGGTGTCTTCACAGTTCCTGTGTTGCTATCTGAATGTCAATTATTTTAGATGTTAGAAGCCTTTTGGTGTTACAATTGTCTGCAGTCCAAGAGACCTAGGTCTCAGAATGAGAGCCTGATTTTCTCTTCCATTTTTTTTAACTTTGTCCTTTTGGCTAAGCAGTGAGCACTGCCTTTAAACTAGTTGTAGTTTGTGCAGGGACTAAAAATGCCACAAGATTAAAATCAGTGTAAATAAAGCTTGACTTATTGTGATTGTTACTGTTATATCCAGCCTATACTGCTAGCAGCTGCTCATACTGCAGTCAATTACTGGAAGTGGATATATTTCCTATGCAAAACTGTTTAAACAATAAATGAGCTATGCTACAAAATGCTGTTATGCTTGGTGTTCTTTGTTCAGCTGTCAGTCCCCATCCAGTCACCTTTGTGCCAATGTAAACGGTGCCTTATTACACCACAGGTCCAGTGTAAAGTGCATTCCTTACTCTGCTTCGCCCTCTGTTTCTTCTTCAACTTCATTTTCACGGGATTGGCAACGTTTTTAGCGTTCTCACCGAGAAACAGATCTGCAACATTGTATTCAAGATCACATTCCATCGCCATTCGAGGTTAGAAAGGCACTTCTTAGAGCACCAGTTGGCGATTGAAGAATGTGATTTTAAATAGAGGAATCTGACACTTGATTTCATGAGTCTTCTGAATGTAAATAACTTTGAATGACAACTGTGGTTAGCTAGAATTCAACTATTTGTGTTGTCCAAAACATTGTGTTGTGGAAACATTGCCACAGTTAAAATATCAGTATTCCACAAAGAATGTCAAAACAGTTTTTTGAAGGACACCGATAACATTCAAACATTATGAAAGAATGCAGCCTTTTGTGATTTCAGAATTTTTCTCTCATCATTAATGGCTTTGCTTTTACTTCTGCTATTGAGAAACAAACATCGGAGGCATAGTCACATAAATATCAAACTACAAAAGCAAAAGTGTACTATTTCCTTGAACCTGTTCTTGAGGTTTAGCCTCTGAGCCAGTTTGAAATTCTGCGTTCTTCTTCCATTTTCAAAAATTGGATGTTGGGAGTCGAGATGCGCATATGTCGGATTTTTAGCAAGCACTTCATTGTTCTTTTCAATCAGAATGCAAGCTGTGCTTCTGATGTGGGCGATACAAGAATAAAATAGGTTCCAAATGGATATTTAAACCACTTCTCTTTGCTAGTTGTATTTAATGTGGTGACGGAACTGCACTTTAATTTATTTACAGTATTTAGGTAAAAGGTGTATTGATAAATGATAGCTTCAAAATGCACATACAGTATGTTTGTATATGCTATACTTTTTCATTGACTCGATAAAAAACGTATGTTGATTTTTGTAATTAAAGAACCTTGTTTACAGTAAATGGGGGCCACAGATGTAGAATCTAATCTAGATTTTGCACAAGGAGAAACCTCATTAAAAACAACTCAATACCTGCTACTCAGTCCCCGTACAATACATGTAGGAGGAAGGCATGTTTCTTGTCCTTCCTGTTTGATAGTAGCTAACTAATGCAAGAATCTCTTCCATATATTTCACTTTGACTACTTGGTTGGGCAGCCGTTTCCATACTCCCATAACCCTTGTTCCAAACTGGACTGTTGAGAAAACCAGAGTATACTAGTATAATTTAGATATTATCTCAGCATGGTGGAGCAGTAGTTTGCATTGCTGCCTCACAATGCTGGGGCCCTGTGTTCAGTTCCAGATCTGGGGTGCTGTCTGTGTGGAGTTTGTATATTCTCCCTGTATTTGTATGGGTTTTCGTTGGATACTCCAGTTTCCTCCCGCAATCCAAAAACATACTGGTAGGTTAATAGGCTTCTGTGTGCCCTGCGGCCTTCCAGTCCAGGGGGTACCCTGCCTTGCGGCTGTTCTTGCTGAGCTAGGCTGCAACTCCCCTGCAGCCCTGAACTGGAAGAAGCGGATAGAAAATGGATGGAAATTATCTACAATTTCTGTTTCAGCTGTAGGTCTACAGTGTATGAATTTGTTTAATGTTAAGCTGCTCAACATAATACCCCAAAGTATAAACTGTATGAAATGGCAATGGTGTTGTTATGTCCCAGTGTGTGGTCTATGTGTGTTTTGTTGCTATGTTCCACACTTCCTGACCTTGATTGTTCTCCCTTCCCCATTGGTCCCATTATATCATTGTTTCTGTGTGGCACCACTCTAGTTCCCTACCCCTGTGTGTTATTGTGTCTTATTACGTACCAGTCATTTATTCACCTTAAAATAATCACTTTTGCACTAACACTTATTATGCTTCCTAGTCCCTCACCAGAACCCACCTGCATCCCAATGTTACACCCCTTTACCCCTAGACACTTGGGGTCGTAAAAGGTGTATTGTTGATACATAAGATGTACAGTACAGCAAAATAGTTAAACTAACAGTGGATGAAGCATTCTTCTAACAGTGAATACACCTCTGTCACCCATGTCTCCAAGATTTATATCTTGGTCTCCATAACATTATTCAGTAAGTGTAAATGCAGAGTGAGTATCTTGTATGGCCAGCCATCAACATAAATGACTGCAAGACATGTACACCTCATGAATACTATCAAATTAGTGTCTGCTCACTGTTGCAGCTGCCGTCTGAAGGCACTTACAGAGGAGTACTACAACTCAAGGCGTTTGTAACAGTTGGGACATTCCAGTTTGAAATACAGTATAGTGCTTGATTGTATTCACTCACTGGATAGTCATGGTATTGCTCTATGGGGAAATATCACTGTCTTATGTGAATCTTGTTATCTTATGAACGGATAATTGTGCAATGTGTCTCCATCAATAATCAGTGTGGTTACCACTTGTCTGAATGCATCAACTGTAGTATGTTTATATTTTGCATGTGCAATTCATGGAATATGTATGAATTCTAGCCTTTGTGAACAGTTTTAATATGAAAACATGATTGATTGCACTGTATTAACATTTTCAAACTTTCAGTATTTGCACAGTTTCTTTCTTAGGAAAAGTCTGTGTCTCTGGGTAATGCTGATATTAGAAGGTAACACTAAAAAATATGAGAGCATGTCTTTTGTGTTCCATTGAAAAGAAATGCAGAACCAGACTTCTACAGCAACACTGTGCACAGCTGGTTTGGGAGTGTCCGGACCAATTTTCATCTCGGTGTCATTTAGGCAAGGCACAGCAAGCTGCTCTGTTAGCCATGTACAATGGCACTTAGAACAGAGATGTATCCCCTTTGATAATCGGTCCTTTCAATATGGAGAATAAGCAGATTACACCCAGGTTTATATTGGTGTTAGGAAAATCATGCAATTCTGGCACAACTTTAAATAAAAAGTATAATGGTATGTATGGATCAATTATGAGAAAACAAACACCTGGCCCTGGGCACAAAAGGAGTTAATTTGGCTGTAAAACAAAAACAATATGTGGCTCTGCTGATATAAAATTACCCAATGTATAATGGTTATCATTACACCATTTATCAAAATTGGCCAGTTAAGTAAACATCTGGCTTCAATAGCAGTAGAGTCTGTAGGGTTTTGGCTGTTCTTATGTCCTACATATTTTCCAGCCTTTTTATCAGTGCCTGCTGTCAGTGATTTGATGAAGTTAAATAGACTGCAATTCGCCCTATTATGTTTCGCAGGAAAAATAAAGTGAAATTTGTGTTTTTGTAAGTACATATAGAGACTAGGCTGTGGCGTTCTCACCATGAAATCTAAGGCAGGCAGCACTCTGTGAAATTCTTTTCTTTGCCTGGCAGAAAATAGAGCATATGACTTTAATGAAGTAGCTGAGTTGAGCTGAAACAATGGGACCCATAACTAGCACTGTAAATTTTTCAACCACCATTGTAATAAATGGGCTTCTTGTCTAGAAAAAGGCATATCTGGGAAACACTGACAGATGAACTTCAACAAAAACTTCTAATTTAGGCAGTAAGACAAATTTGCCACATAAGACAGATATTTAACAAAACTGTATTTATTTTTTAGAACTAGGACCTTGCATGTTACACTGGTGAATTAAATTAGCATTCCTTATTTCAGACTAAGATTTCAGGAACCAAAAAACGCCAGTGAAATTAATCTAAAATATAATCAACGTATAAACTGATGGAAAGTTATGGCCACTCTTCGACTGATGTATTCAAACTACAGAATAATAAAACAGAAGTGTTATATTTTCCAGACATCTGCTTGAATCACAGTTAAAAACAGTAACGCATTTCCTTAAAGGGTGTTTAAGGTCAGTGTATACTATCCACTGCCATTTAAAATTCCTGTATCGGCTGTGCAGTCTGAGACTGAGAAAAGAAGAATCAGTTTTATTTTTTCACCTTTCTGTGACTTCTGTGTAGCCTTCTATGAATGAAAAGGCAAGAGAAATTTGCTCACAATCTACTGCACACTTTTTTTCATGGCAGTTATCCCCTTTGCTAGCAATAACAGCTGCACATATTCCAGGCATAATGTCATATTCACACTTTGCTCCTCACGTTAGCAGCACCGAGCTCTCTGTGTTCCTTCTAGTTGTAGTCACAGTACATTTCTGCTAGCTGTGTCAGGCTCCTCCCAGCAGAGCACGGAGGTTGAGGACAGGGGGATGGTGAGACCAGTGCACCGATTTTACAACTTATTTTTGCTGTAATTGAATCTGGCAGTGTGTTTATAGTCATTATTGTGTTGAAAAACAACTGTTTGCATTCAGGTCACCATCCTGAGGGTATTGCATGACCACAATAAATGTAATGATGGACCTTTACTATACTTTATGTCCTGTCTGTGCAACTGCAAACAGCTAAAAAACATCACTACCTCTGTGCTTTACTTAGACACTAGGTAATATTTTCTTTCTTCATTACTGCTCCCTTTTGGAACTGAAAATGTTTTTTCTGTCAATTCTATCTCCATCAAAATACTGCTGCTCACCTTTAAGGGGTTTGAATGGTTTGGCTCCTCACTACATTGGTCAACTGTTAACTCCATACACAGCTACACATCTTTTGCTCTGCTTGGACCCTGGCTTTTCTTCATTGTTCTGAACCCTGGGAGACCTGGCTCTTTCTGTTCTGTTGCTCCAAGACTGTTTGTTGAAGGATCTCTTAGCCCACAGTAGATTCTTCAAATCAGTCAGCACCTTTAAATCCTGTCTATAAATTGACTTTTAAATTGCAGATTTTAATTTACTGCTCAAATTTGCATACGTGTTTCTTTTGTTTGGATATTTTAGTGACTTTGAGCAGCATGGAGCTGTTGTTAAGAATTTGGTTAGGTTGTGAGGTTCAAATCGCAGGTGAGAGACTGATGTTGTACCCTTGAGCAAAGTTTAATCAAATTGCTTCAG